CGGCTCACACACTCCTTTCCCTCCCCCTCCCCACAACAGACACCCTGTGAGGTAGGTGGGGCTGAGAGAGCTCTTTCGAGGACTGCTTGTGAGAGAACAGCTCTGAGACAGCTTGTAACTGACTCAAGGTCACACCAGCAGCTGCATGTGGAGGAGTGGGGACTCAAACCCAGTTCTCCAAGATTAGAGTCTGCGCTCCTAACTACGGTACTACACCAAACTGGCCCTCGGACTAGAGGCCTGCAAGCTATTTTGAACCCAGCTGAAGCTGCCTGATACTGACTCAGACCACTGGTCTGGTCCCTCAAGGTCAGTCTTCTCTACTCTGACTGGCAGTGGCTCTCCAGGGTCTCAGGCAGAGGTAGCTCACATCACCTACTGTGTGGTCCTTTTTCACTGGAGATGCCGGGGACCAAACCTGGAACCTTCTGAATGTCAAGAAGAGGCTCATCCACTAAGCCATTCCAGCTTGCACAGTATTTTCCCAGGAAACAGTTTTTGCTTGAGAACAACTGATCCGTGGTTGAGTCACAGCAGCGATTTATTTTTTTTTTTGGGGGGGGGGGGGGGGGAGTTTCACAGTGCTTCCCCCTGCTTTAAGAATTGGTTGTTTCCAGTACTCAAGGAATTCCAGTTCAGGCTGTCACAACAATGCGACTTCAGGGTCTGTGATTATATGAGGCCCCTTGTTCATGTTAATAATAATAATTATGGCATTGTGTGTAGAATAGCCAGGTGATCCTAAGATTGTCTGGCAGCCACAAGTTCTAGCTCTTAGTGCTATGCACCACTAGGTGGCGAGTGAGACTTGTTTTTAGGGGGTGAGAGCGCTCTGGGAAAACCGTGACAGACCCAAGGTCACCCAGCTTGCTTCACATGCAGGAGTGGGGAATCGAACCCGGTTCTCCAGATTAGAATCCACCACTCTTAACCACTAAACCACAGTGGCTCTCATATTTGCGTTATGTATGGGAGCATGGAAAGGCAGGGTGGGAGTGCAATGAGCTCCCGGAGGAGATCAGGGCCCTGCGGGACCTTTCACAGTTGCGCAGGGCCTGCAAGACGGAACTCTTCCGCCAGGCTTTCAAATAGGAGCTGCCACCACTGTTACTGTTACCACCAACGATCCCATGTGTACATCAGGAATACTGGACTGCCCCACTACCAACGGTGCCATTTAATGTCTGGCCCATAGGACTGGCCTGAAGATCAGAAGATGACCAGAATGAAAACGCACGCCATTCACTTTAGTACTACGAGCATATTCACTTTAGTACTACGCAGGGCTCTTTTTGTAGCAGGAACTCCTTTGCATATTAGGCGACACACCCCTAATGTAGCCAACCCTCCAAGAGCTTACAGAGCTCTTCTTACAGGGGCTACTGTAAGCTCTTGGAGGATTGGCTACACTAGGGGTGTGTCACCTAATATGCAAAGGAGTTCCTGCTTCAAAAAGAGCCCTGCGAGCATATTCACTTTAGTACTACAAAATACTGCGAGCATTTTAATGTTTATTGTTGATATATTAAGTATGTTTTACGCTATTTTAATGTTTTATGGGTCATGTGAAATCGGCATATTTTGCCGTCCTTTGTAAGCCGCCCAGAGCCTGTTTACAGGGTGGGCGGGGTATAAATACATATATATAAACAGAATGGAACTACTGCAAACCGTGCATTTGCAAACTTATATTAAATGCAATTACAACATATCAGATCATATATTCATTAATATGTTTTACAGAAAACTGAAACCAATGATGTCAAAGATGGATGAACTCCCCCGGAGTTAATATTCGTTTCGAGGCGTCTTTTTTTCATACATCAAACCTCATATAAGCGTGCCTCCACATGGTCATAAATCTTCCAAATTGGATTTTCCTTGGTTCCTATACGTTTTGGTGTTATTCACAAGATGTTCTTAACCACAATATCAAAGACGGGCTGAGGTTTGATGTATGAAAAAGACGCCTTGAAAGGAATAACAACTCCGGGGGAGTTCGTCCATCTTTGACATCATTGGTTTCAGTTTTCTGTAAAACATATTAATGAATATATGATCTGATATGTTGTAATTGCATTTAATATAAGTTTGCAAATGCACGGTTTGCAGTAGTTCCATTCTGTTTACACCTTTACCATACTGCAACCCCCCTCTATCTTTCGGGGTATAAATACAAGCAGGGCTATTTGGGGGCAGGAACGCACAGGAACGGAGTTCCGGCTGGCTCCCGAGTTGGCCACGCCCAGCAGGAACTCATCAGCATAATAGGCCACACCCAACAGCAGAAACTCATTAGGATTGGCTACGTTAGGGGTGTGTGGCCTAACATGCAAAGGAGTTCCTGCAACAAGAAAAGCCCTGGGCTTTGACAACAAACAGGGTAAACAGAATAAGAAGCAAAAGGGGTGTGTGGCTGGATGACTACACTTCTGGTAACATGGGGGTGCGGCCTAATATGCTAATGAGCTGTGTTGTCTGGGGTGTGGCCTAATACACTTATGAGTTTCTGCTGTTGGGTGTGGTCTATTATGCTAATGAGTTCCTGCTGGACTTTTCCTACAAAAAGAGCCCTGAATACAAGTATAAATAAATAAATAAACCTAGACTCACCTTGCCTCGATGCTGGATGTGGTGGTGCCGAAGGTGAGGCTCGGGAACAGCCACCGCGTCCCCAATCAGAACCCCCCAGCTCTGGGCCATGTTGTAAACTGTCACGGCGAAACAGGAGCCCTCGGCGGAGTCTGCCAAGCCGAAAGTGCTGCCAAGGAGCAGAAAGGAAAGGACAAGGAAACATCAAGACGCATCAGTGTGGGTGAGTGGAGGCAGGCATCTCCACACAGTACACCACGACGGATCGATGACGCTCGGGGGAGGTTCTCGTTTTGTTGCAACTGAATGGAGCTTTTAACGGTTACTCTTGTTTTAATCGGATCATCTCTTGGGGCCTCTACTTTGAGGGAAAGTGAGATATAAACATTTTAAATAGGGCTGCCAACCTCCAGGAGGCACCCGGAGAGCTCCTCCTATAACAACTGACCCCCAGATGGGCAAGATCAGCTCCCCTGTAGAAAACGGTGGCTCTAGTTGGTGGACTCTGTGGCATCGTACCCTGCCGAGGGCCCCTCCCCTCCCCAAGCCCCACCCTCCCCAAAATCTCCAGGTATTTCCCAATCCAAAGCTGGCAACCCTGATTTTAAGCAAAAAACAGATAAAAGATTCAAGTGTCTGGCTGTGTCCTATAAAGCTCTGAGACTGAGCTGTTTACGGGGACTGAGACTCCTAAACTCAGCTGAAAATGCCGTTCTAAAACGCATCCATCCACCCAACTCAAACGTCAAGGGTAAGAACATAAGAGACGCCAATGTTGGATCAGGCCAAAGGCCCATCCAGTCCAACACTCTGTGTCACACAGTGGCCAGAAATACGTGGGGCCAGGACACTAGACGCCCTCCCACTGTTGGCCCCCCCAAGCACCAAGAAGACAGAGCATCACTTGCCCCAGAGTCCCTAACTATACCTTGTGGCTAATAGCCACTGATGGACCTCTGCTCCATATGCTTATCTAATTCCCTTTTGAAGCCGTCCATGCCTGTAGCCGCCACCACTTCCTGTGGCAGTGAATTCCATGTGTTAATCACTCTTTGGGTGAAGAAGTACTTCCTTTTATCTGTTCTAACCCGACCGCTCAGCAATTTCATGGAGTGCCCACAAGTTCTTGTATTGTGAGAAAGGGAGAAAAGGACCTCTTTCTCTACCTGCTCTATCCCATGCATAATCTTGCAAACCTCGATCATGTCGCCCCTCAGCCGTCGTTTCTCCAAGCTAAAGAGCCCCAAGCGCTTTAACCTTTCCTCATAGGGAAAGTGTTCCAACCCTTTGGTCATTCGAGTTGCCCTTTTCTGCACTTTCCCGAAAGCTAGGGTACCTAGAGGGGAGCTCTTGGTAGATGGCTCCTGTTGGAACTGCAGTTCCCGGAAGGTCGACTGAAACCCTAGCCTGGATGTATGTCGGAATCAGAGTTAACGTCTTCCTTTTTATTCAAGCCAGCAAACATTCAAAGAGCAAAGGAGGAGAAATGGGGGCTCTTCCCAGCTCCACATCTCAGCCGTGTTCCCGTCTCCTCCCCGCCTGCAGATCTAAAGGGCTGGGCAAAGCCAGAGGCACGAGCCCCTGGAGGGCAGCCAAAGTGCTCTTGGCTCTTCGGCTCTGGGTGGCAGCCTGGAGGGGGCCTACCTGAAGGAAGTCCCGTTCAGGATGCATCTTTTTTTGTCTGATTGTTGTGATTGTTTTAAGTTCTGTAATTTGGCGTGGAAATTTCTGTAAGCCAGTGTGGGTCCCTTGGGAGGAAAGTGGCACAGAAAGGCCTAAACGATAACAATTTGGTGGGTAAGAATGGGTACGGGGAGGGATGTTGTTTAAAGCTAGAATTTTTTACTATTGCTTGTTAGTTAAAATTATAACTTGCCCTTCCCAAAAAGGGCTCAGGGCAGGTGACAACATAGTGCACGAACAATTAAAATCAGGTAATATAATTAATTCTTAAAACAGCTAAAACCATTAGTTAAAAGATGGTGAATCAAATCTAACAGTTCAGACCCCCCTATAAGCCGGACTGGAGCCACACCAAGCTCATATAATGCCAGGACTCCACAAAGGGCAGACAGCCAGGGCAACGTCTATGCAGGGAGGCCAACTAATTGGGTGCCCACCAATGTTCCCTCTAAGCTGTGGAGTCCTGTGAGCAAAAA